CGACAGTTCCGTGACGCAGCCAGTGTTATTTCTGTTTCGAGACCAACGGCCGAAAGTCCCCGTGAGCCGCCTTGCCAGGACCAGAATTGGTCTTGGGCCGCTGAGGTAGCGCAGGGACGCCTCGCCTGGCGACGGTCACACAGCTGAGCCTCCGCTTTTCTCCCCAGGATCCCTGCGTGGCCTCTGGCTGCTTGTCGTCCTCAAGGCTGGGTTGGGTTGGGTGGGTTTGGGTACCCGGGCCCTGGTAACACCAGACACCGGATCGCTGTGACACAGCCCGAGTTACGGTCATTTGCCTCCTTCCTGTCTCTTCTCTGAGGGAGCCACGTGGGCAGCACCAACCTCTCAGCTGGTGGGATTGGGAGAAGAACGCCAGGCCAAGTGGCTCCATCAGCCGTCGTGCTCCTCTGAGAGGCTCTCAGTGCTGAGTCACCATACCTGCCCACCGCATTGGGGTGGGCACAACAGCCGTGCGCCATGCCAGCGGCTCCTGACCGCTCCTGACTGGAAGGAGGGGTTACTCCAGCCCTGTTTCCCTGCCACTTGGCAGTGGAGGAGAAAGAGGCCCTGATCCCTGCCCGCGTGCCGGCCTACGGCAGCCGGTCAGCAGCTCCTTCGGTAAACGGAGTGAGAACCGCGCCTGAGCCCCGCGCTCTTGGGAAAGGCCTACCCAGGCAGGCGCCTCTGGCGGGGGCCCCTGCTCGGATGGAGCACGTGCTTTGCCGCTCACCCCTCCTGGATCCCTGGCTGCTGGTTCTCCACTTAGAGCCAGTCTGCAGAGGTGTGTAGTCCTTTCTGGATGAGGTTTGGCAGGATTGAGTTTTGCTTCCTCCCGTTTCTACTGGAAGACAGGCCGCAATCCATTAGTGGGTGAAATTGAGTCTAATACGTATCACCATTCGGACTGAGGGTCAGATCTTGCACCTGGACAACTGAAGACCAGGCAGACAGGATTGCAGAAGGGACAGTCCAGCTTCCTGGGGATGTTGGGCCTGGAGGCAACCACGCCTTGCTCTGTTGCTGGCCGCCTTGACCCCAGGCTCCCTGCTTAAAACTGCAGTTCGACTGCTGGCCTGACTGATCCTTGAGGCTGTGCCCTCTGGGGCACGCACACGGCACGGCCTGCCACCATGCGACTGAGCTCCGTGTTGGCTGTGCTGCGGCCAGCGCTGCCCCTCATCCTCGGGCTGTCTCTGGGATGCAGCCTGAGCCTCTTGCGGGTTTCCTGGATCCAGGGTGAGGGAGAAGATCCCTGCGTGGAGGCTGTGGGGGAACCGGGGGGGCCGCAGGACTCCAGAGCTCGGCTGGACCAAAGCGATGAAGACTTCAAACCCCGGATTGTCCCCTACTACAGGGATCCCAGCAAGCCCTACAAGAAGGTGCTCAGGTGAGAGCTGCGCGTGTGCGTAGTCCCCAGGCTCCAGAGCCCGGCGTCGCCTCTGCCTTCACTGGGGATCAGAGTTGGGCTCTTTGGAGCAATTCTTTGCCTTATTGTCCATCATGGTTTGATCCAGCTTTTTCTCTCCTCCTCAGTCTAAGAAAGCCTCACCCATTGCTATTAAATCAGTGTCCGATGATCTTGAATAGGACAGGAATTTCATCTAATCCATATAATCCGGCCTTACTAGACTCCTCCCCAAATCAATTCCAGTGTCGGCTACTCGGAGGATGCTCGCTCCAGGAGCTAATGAGCACCGAGGACGCCGCCTCTCCTTTCTCTTTTCTCACCCCAACTCCCTCATTCCTGGGGGGCTGGGTTCCTAAAGACCATCGAGGTGACCCTTGCCATGCTGGTCTCTCCACAGGACCCGGTACATCCAGACAGAGCTGGGCTCTCGTGAGCGGCTGCTGGTGGCTGTCCTGACTTCCCGGGCCACACTGTCCACTCTGGCTGTGGCTGTGAACCGCACAGTGGCCCACCACTTCCCTCGTTTGCTCTACTTCACTGGGCAGCGAGGGGCCCGGGTGCCGGCGGGGATGCAGGTGGTGTCACATGGGGACGAGCGGCCAGCCTGGCTCATGTCCGAGACCCTGCGCCACCTTCACTCACACTTCGGAGCCGACTACGACTGGTTCTTCATCATGCAGGACGACACATACGTGCAGGCCCCCCGCCTGGCAGCCCTTGCCGGCCACCTGAGCATCAACCAAGACCTGTACTTGGGCCGTGCAGAGGAGTTCATTGGCGCCGGCGAGCAGGCTCGGTACTGCCACGGGGGCTTTGGCTACCTGTTGTCACGGAGCCTCCTGCTTCGATTGCGGCCACATCTGGATGGCTGCCGAGGAGACATTCTCAGCGCCCGTCCTGACGAGTGGCTTGGCCGCTGCCTCATCGACTCTCTGGGTATCGGCTGTGTCTCACAGCACCAGGTGACAGCCCTGTCAAGTCAGCCCCGGTCCCTGATGAGTGAGGAGTGACGGAGGGATCGGGCTTCAGGCTGGGATCAGCCGGCCCCTTCCTAGCAGCCCGATGTTCGGCCCTTCGCAGCCACGGAGCGCCCCTCTGGCTCTCCTGCTCCCCTTGGGCTGTCTTAGACCCTGGGGGCTGTCAAAAGTGGCATCTTATCAGGGAGCCTATTCACCAGTCCTTCTCCCATCTGCCCCCCGCTCTTCACTCCTTCCCACGACATACAGTCATGAAGGATCCAGGACTGTTCTGGAGAAAGCTCCCCAATCTTTGGGACTGGATCAGAGGGGATGAAACCGGCGTTTTGGGAGTGTTTGCTGGCTCGGGGCTTTCATTCCCGAGAAACAGTAGGGTTTTTTGGGGAAGAGGGCATCCTTAGTTGCCTTCTTAACATTCTCTTTTCCAAACTCCAGTGGTGAGAGTAAGGCCAAGGTTGAGGGGACACGGGAACAAGCTCCTGCTCCCCACTCCCTTCTGGGCAGCAGCCGTCATGCTGAGTTTGGTCGGGTGGTTGGGATGGGCACCCCTCCACGTGTGGCGTTGATTGGTGTGATTGGTCCCTCTAGGGGCAGCAGTATCGCTCCTTTGAACTGGCCAAGAATAGAGACCCCGAGAAGGAGGGGAGCCCGGCCTTCCTGAGTGCCTTCGCAGTGCACCCTGTCTCCGAGGGGATCCTCATGTACCGGCTGCACAAGCGCTTCAGCGCTCTGGAGCTGGAGCGGGCGTACAGCGAGATAGAACAGCTGCAGGTGAGCGGGCAGCCGACGGGGGGAGGCTGGCTGTACCGAGATTGAAAGCTCCAGGGGAAAGGGGCCCTTGGGGGTCCAGGCCAATCAAAAGAGAAGCTCCTGGCACAACTGGGATGAAGCAAAAAGGGTCTGCAGGTGAGCTGTGAGGACCGGGGCCTGGTACACTGCTTAGAATAGTTTTAGCTCCTCTCCGATAATGCCTTCCACCGAGGAGGCAAAAATCCCAAAGTCTCTGAAGTCCTAGTACTGTCCTTAAAAAACCCAAGGGTAGAAGAATCGTCTAGTTGATTGTGGGGGTTGTCAGAGGTGGAGCACAGCTGAAAACAAAGGTCCCGCTCTGAGGAGGATAGCAGTGCTGTGGGTTTGGGGGAGACAGGCTGCCGAGCTTTGTGTTTGAGGATGCTCTACCCTCCACCACAGTGCGTTGCCCCCTCCTCCTCCTCCTCCTCCTCCTCCTCCTCCTNCTTCTCACAATCATTTTTTTTTTTTTAGCTGAGCCATCCTGCCACCTGTTGGCAGCTCAGCGGCTGCTCAGCTCAGGCCGGGAATCGAACCGCTGTTGCTCAGAGCTCAAACTTTTGAGTGAGCTCTTAACCAACTGAGCCACTCGGCCGGCCCTTCTCTTAATCATTTTTAACTCCCCCTTTTCCAAACTGCTGTCTGTCTGTCATAATTTGCATTAGTAATACTCCTCTGCTCTTCAGACATTTACTTAGTATCTCTATCTGCAAAGCTGGTTATACAAAAAAGTATCTATCACCCAAGACATGGATGGACCCTGCACTCAAAGACCAAACAATTTAGATGCAGAAACAGAAAACACAAAGGTAAGAAGGTAACATTATAAGGTGGTACAGGGGTGTAGTGAATGGAAACAAGTAAGGTCGGGTTGGATTGGGAAAAGCTTTGCTATCTTGAGTTGGGCCCTGAGCAAAACGTCAAATGTAACTAGTGCAAAAATTGTGGTACTAGAACTTAGTGTGTAAAAAGGACATAAACGTGGTAGAGCAGAAGGCCTGTGTTTAGGGAGTTTTCCGGGGGCAAAGAAAAGAAGGCTGGGAATAGACTTCCAAGAGCCTGGAACACTCTTGATCGCACACTGCCATGAGTCCCCATCTAGGCTGCACGTTACTAGCGGGCAGGCTGTGTTTTACCTCAGTACATAGCACACTGTCTAGCATTTGAAAAGTGCTCGATAAATTCTTCCCAAAGTATCAATAATAGGAAGAGGCATCTCTTTCCCAGGAAAAAACCCCCACAAAACAATTGATAAGTTCCCTTTATTCGGTATGGGAGGACAAGGGTATCATGTGGCAACGCCCGGCACACCGACCAAGGAAAACTGAGAAAGAGAACAGGGAGCTGACCTCCTCCCTGTCCAGCGGACAGAGCAGTTAGGCAGCACGCCTCCCATGTCCGCTTGCCACTGGGCGAGGGAGAGCCCGGGGCCGTTTCCCTGAACAGTAACAGGATGCCGCAAGCTCCAAGTCTACTGTTTTGGTTTGTGAAGTTTCACGGCACCAGACACAGTCGTCTCCAGGGCCCCCCCCGCCAGGCACCTTTAAGGCGCAGCAACCATCCCGGGAACCCGCCTCGCCCCTCAATTCACCTGGGCTCTCCTGCCCATTGACCTGGTCGCTTCTCTCCTCGGCCACCTGTGGCTCCGTGACGGCGTCTCCGTTTTCTTCATGCCCCTTCCTGGGCCGCTGTCGCGCTTTGGCGGCTTCCTTCTTCTTGGCGGCCTTCTTCTTGGCCAGGTCAGAGGGCATGGTGATGCACGCCAGGGGCAGGTGACCGTTCGCTCAGGGAGCCTGGAGGAAGGCAGACGCCCCGCATTCTACGCGTGCGGGAGGGCGCCGGGGCCCCGCTCCGTCCCTCACAGGCGTGTTCCTATCAGGCCTCGGGGAGCCAGCTCCGCCCCTGCCCGGGCGCTCCCAACTCTGCCTGCGTCTCTCGAGCCAAGGCTGATCCTCGGCCG